CTCCTCCTTCTCCTCCTCCTCCTTCTCCTCCTCCTTCTCCTCCTCCTTCTCCTTCTCCTCCTCCTCCTTCTCCTCCTCCTCCTCCTCCTCCCTCTCCTATTTAAACTGAACTATCTATCACCTTGCTTTTGCTGAAATCTGGGCTCGAGGTAGCTTACAATCAGTACGATCAAAGTAACACCAGGTGATTAAAGATAAAACCAGCCAACATTGCTTGCAAGTCACTTACCTGGACAAACGGTTAAGTCTTGCTTGTTTTCCAAAGTGATGGCTGTCTGCTTCTGGGCTCTCACAGAGAAGAAGTGTCCGGGGGACATGTTCTCTCCGTCAGATACATCGAAAGAAAACCCTCCTTCCAGGGGTCCTGTGGAAGGAAGGAAGGACAGCGGGAGGTGAGATCTAGGAACTGGGGGCAATTCTGCACAAACCTGTAAGATACTTAGCAGAGTGCATGAAGCAGAGGCGAAATAATGGATCACAGATACGTGTGTGTTTAGCTTCTAATAAAGAAGAGATGGGATTTATACCCCACCCTTCACTACCCGAAGGAGTCTCAGAGTGGCTCATGAACTCCTTTCCCTTCCCCTCCCCACATCAGACACCCTGTGAAATCGGTGGGGCTGAGAGAGCTCTCTCGAAGACTGCCCCCGAGAGAACAGCTCTGAGAGAACTTGTGACTGACCCAAGGTCACCCAGCTGGCTGCATGGGAAGGAATGGGGAATCAAACCCGGTTCTACCAGATTAGACTCCGTGCTCCTAACCACTGCACCAGACTGGCTCTAAAAAGTTTACTAAAAGAATTAGGGAAGGGTTACATGGGAAGAAAAAAAATAACAACAGCCTAATGCATCTTTCTAGTTCTAACTCCTTTTTGTCTCTTTGTCTGTCTGTGTCTTCTTCTGCTTCTGATCCCAGGAACAAAGGAGAGGAAGTTCCCCCTAAAAAAGCTCCGCCCACGGGGTATGCGCAGAATAGGACGTACCATCTGTCAATATATTGATTAGCCCACAGTCAAGGTCACCTCATTAAGAATAATACCTCCCCCTTCTTGGCATGAAGATTCAACTGGTCACCTAATTGCCTCTAAGCTAATTAGCTAACATTAACATGCAGAAACTTCTGTTTAACCCTTTCGTGACTGCAGGGATGACACTCGCAAAACCCAACAAAACCCCTCTCCTTCCTTCCGTCTTTTCCTTTACAATCAGGAATTCTTTGAAGCCTTCGTGGTGTACTGGCTGGAATGTTAGATCAGGGAAACCTCTGTTCAAATCCCCGCTCTGCCACAGAATCTCACTAGGTGCGGAGTAGTGGGAAGTGTGTCGAACTGGGATCTGAGAGGCCCGAGTTCGAATCCCCACTCTCCCATGGAAGCTCGCAGGGCAATCTTGGGCCAGTCGCATGCTCTCCGCCTACCTCACAAGATCGTTGTGAGGATGAAGCAGAGGAGAGGACAACGATGTAAGACGTTTTTGGTCCCCCTTGGGGAGAAAGACAGGGTATAAAGGAAGGAAGTAAAAAGAAAGAGACGACCCTGGGCCAGTCACTGTCTCCCAGCCTAGCCTACCTCACAGGGCTGTTGTGAACATCAAACGGCACAATGGAGGGAACTATGTATGCCCCCTGGTGGGTAAAAATGGACCAGCTGTATAGAGGAATTATATATTTTTTTTAACTTCCAGTCCTGCAGTTAAGAAATACATCAGGCCCCTTCTCTGGGATTTTACTGTCTAAGGAACATTCTACAGGGAGACTCCAGAGTTTATCCCGCCTCCTCCCCCCACACACCTTCGTGGATGAACTGAACGAGCCGGCTGTTTATCTGGGCCTGAGAGAAGCGCAGGGCTGTGTTTTGGGGCGACGACTTCAGCACGACTCTCCCGTTGACCGGGGTCCTGATGGAATAGACCACGTCCTCCGGGGGCGTATCTTCATCTTCGGTTCGGAGCAGCTCGGTAGTAATTTCGGCTGTGCCGCCTTCGGGCATCTGAGCGAAAGGGAAGAGAAATTGGGGAGGGAGAGGGATTAGATCGATCAGTCATTTGAAAAGGCACGAGCAGGGGTAATTTCCTGCAGGAGCACACAGGAGCGGAGCTCCGGCAGTAAGGAGCCCAGGGGGGTGGGCACATGCAACAAGCCCCGCCCCCTGCTCCCAGCAGCCCTCAGTCAGAGCAAGAAGCAGCCAGGTAAGTTGCAGAGTCAACAGGTCCAAAACAGTCCAGTGGCACCTTTAAGACCAAGTTTTATTCAGGTACAAGCTCTCCCTCCTCTGTGAGGGCAGATCTGCACACCCCCCCCCCAATAGCTAGGAATCCAAAACAGTCCAGTGGAGCCTGAGTGTTGCCTTCTGACACACTTCAGGGGGTATGACATATGCAAATAAGTTGTGCTAATAGGTTATGCTAATGAGCTCCTGCACCTCTTTTTCTACAAAATGACCCCTGGACGAGCGAGTTGTGGACTAAAATGGGCTTCCAACGGCAGCTCCCATTGTCAGCCGCCTTGACCCACGAGGGAAAATGGGAAAATGAATTTTCGCGATAAAGCAGTGCAAAACAACTAAACAATATATGAGTAAAACCATGCTTCTGATCAGAGGAAATGCGTATCTCAAGATTTCACTCATCAATACCCCACTGCCTGTAATTCACAGTGGACATCAACAGGTCCTGGCGGTAGTCGAAATAAAACCAACCAAACTTATAGGACCAGTGCTTGTGTGTTAGCAGGTCACCATCCGCAGGCAGGGATGCCAACCTCCAGGGGGCACCGGGAGATCTCCCGCTATTACAATTGATCTCCAGATGGCCAATATCGGTTCCCCCCGGAGAAAACGGCTGCTTTGGAGGGTGGATTCCCTGGCATTATAGCCTGCTGAGGTCCCCTCCCTCCCGAAACCCCGCCCTCTCCGGGTTCCACCCTCAAAATCTTCAGGTATTACTCAACCCAGACCTGGCAATTTGATCCTCAGTGCAGAGCGCCACAAGACGGGTTAGCCTGTTTCTAATCTGCAAAAGGCCACGGGAGCCAGTGTGGGGTAGTGTTTAAGAGCGGCGGACTCTAATCTGGAGAATTGGGATCGATTCCCCGCTCCTCCTCCATAGGAAGCCTGCTGGGTGACCTTGGGTCAATCACGGTTCTCTCTGAACTCTCTCAGCCCCACCTGCCTCGCAAGGTGCCTGTTGTCGGGAGAGGAAGGGAAAGGCGATTGGAAGCGGCTCTTGCTCTGAATTGTTGCGTCAAAATGTCTGTGCCGTGGCAATCTTGAGTATGCTGTTCAGGCATGTATCTGTAAGCTGCAAACCTGCAATGACGCAGCAGCAGAAGAACTGGAAGCTGCAGCAGAAGACAGCCAGTTCCACTGCGGGCCTGATCTGGCCCACGGGCCGCATGTTTGACACCCCTGCCCTGGAGAATTGCTGCCAGCGACAGTAGACAATTAATAGGGATGCCAGCCTCCAGGTGGGACCCGGGGATCCTCCGGAATTACAGCTCATCTCCAGACGGCAGAGATCAGTTCCCCCTGGAGGAAATAGCTGCTTTGGAGGGTCCAGGGCATTGCACCCCGCTGAGGTCCCCGTCCTCCCCAACACTCCATCCCCAAATCTCCAGGAGTTTCCCAGCCTGGATCTGGCAACCCTACACCCCCCACCCCCTGCCGGTGGAAAGGGGGGGCCTAGCAATGTCACAGCATCTGCGAATGTTGCGCAACGGGTGACATTTTGGGTCTTCGGTGGGTGACGTTTCCCCTAAAGCTTTTCAGTTTAAACAAGATCCTCACTGGCGATTTTTTTTTTTTTGGTTTGCGCTGCGTCTCGTGTACATTTGTGAAGACTTTTCTTTTCCATGGAAGGATCTAAAAGAGGAAACTTTGAAGAACCTTTGGCACTGGGCAGAAGGCTTCCTGCCAGTTCTGCTTTCCGTGCTTCTAGGGCACAAGTGCAGCTTATATTTTCCTCCCAGAGATCCCAAAATAAGGCAAAGTAGATGTCTTAAGAGAAAAGAAGGCTAGGCTGAAATTTTCCGTGCCTGAAATGCTTCCTGCTCACTCCCAAGTCTCTCCTCCACACATAGTGTACCGGATTCGGTTCAAGGGGCTGGTTATCACCTTTAAAGCCCTTTCTGGCCAGGGACTTGCATACTTGAGGGACCGCCTCTCCCCGTATGTCCCCCAGAGAGCGCTGCGATCAGGGACCCAAAATCGGCTGGTCCTCCCGAACATCAAGGAGGCCAGGCTGGCGATGACCAGGGTCAGGGCTTTCTCGGTGGCGGCTCCATTCTGGTGGAATGAGCTCCCGGAGGAGATTAGGGCCCTGCGGGACCTGTCAACGTTCCGCAGGGACTGTAAGACGGAGCTCTTCCGCCAGGCTTTTGGAGCCGCCACCACCACTGCCACCACCACTGACATCTGACAGTTTATGGAGAGTGAGCCTGACCCCCTGGGTGCCTCCCCCAAGTATAGCCTGACTCCAGTGCCTGGGACATCTGAAGGAGATTACGACGCTGACTGTACACTGAGGAATCAAATGCTGGCACTTTAATAAGCGGTATAGTTGTGGTTTTAAACTTGTGTTTGATTGGATTTTATAGGGTATATATTGTATTATTATATTGCACTGTTTTATATCGCTGTGTAAGCCACCATGATGGAGTGAGCTCCCGTCTCTGGTTCCAGCTCCTGCCAACCTAGCAGTTCGAAAGCAAGAAATTGCAAGTAAATAAATAGGGACCACTCCGGTGGGAAGGTCACAGTGTTCCATGCGCCTTGGTGTTTAGTCATGCCGGCCACATGACCACAGAAACGTCTTCGGACAGCGCTGGCTCTTCCGCTTTGAAACAAAGATGAGCACCACAACCCTAGAGTCGGACTCGACTGGCTTTCGAGCAAGGGAACCTTTACCTTTACCTTTAAGCCACCCTGAGCCGGCCTTGCCGGGAGGGCGGGGTAAAAAATCTAATAAAATAAATAAACAAACAAATCTATCTCGTTCAACTTTGATTGTACCCACTGAGCCCTTTAATGTTGATTGTTTTATCTTGTTTTTATGTTGTTTTATGCTTTGGCACATGGTGCCCTATTGCAAGCCGCCCTGAGCCTGCTTGCAGGGAGGGCAGGGTAGAAATGTAACGATGAATAAAAATAAATAAATAAATGGTATTGACTTCAGTGATCCATGTGAGTTTGATGATTATTTTTGGCACGGAACATTCAGAAACATTCCAACTGCTCAGGGGAGCGGCAGGAGACAGCGACGGGATGCGGGCCCGGAGCACAGCATTCGGGTCGGGGGAAAACCGAACAGACTGCTCGATCGGTTGGAAAACAGCCGATGGGGCCAAAGAGTGGTAGAAGAGATGAGCTGGCTGGATGGGTGAGGAAGATTGAAAAGCTCGAAAGGGTGGGGGGATTGTTGTTGCAGAAAAGCTCGAAAGGGTGGGGGGATTGTTGTTGCAGAAAAGCAACAACAAACAACAACAACAACAACCAGGAAGACAGCCTGTGAGAGCGGGCTGGATTTCACATGCAGCTCTGAGCCTGCTGGCCACATCCGAAGCTCTTGGCTTCAGAATTACCTCCGGGTGAGCACACTCCAAGGGCAAGCAACTGACACTTTTGAATCAGTGTTCCCTCTAAGGTGAGTGAGTGTGAGCTAGCTCACAGTTTCTTAGCCTCCAGCTCACACATTTCCCCTTCGCTCAGGAAGGAGGGCTCCAGGGCAGACTGATTTATGCAGTAGCCAAATCGCTCGCTAAAGCCGGCATCTCAGAAAGTAGGATTTTTGCTCACAAGACTCCACGGCTCAGAGGGAGCGTTGCTTCTGATCCTCCTGTTTTCCCCCCACTGTGGGGCAGACTCCGGGGAATGGTAGCTCCGAGGAAACAGCAAACAGCCCGGAGAGGTAAAGGATCTCTTTCATTTGTGCGCATGTCCTCCCGGGAATTGCCTGGAAAGTTCCACGCCAGCTCACATCCACCCTGAATTATTGAAGCTTTATGGGCTTCTGATCTGCGTTCCTCTCTTTGCCCACAGGCGATGGCTCCTGTGCACGCCGGGAAAGTCATGTTGAAATATCTGGTGCAGTTCAGGGATGCTTGGGCATTTCAGTACCAGTTGGAAAGTGTGGCCAGTGACCTCTCCATGAGGACTCTTCTCTTCAAACCTTGCCTTGGAATGCGTGGCTTGCCAGATTCTCCACCCAGACTTCAGTGGCTGTCAGAACATCAGTCCCTAGTTCAAGTGGGGCAATTTTTTTTCCTAGTGGGGCTGAAGTTCTCAGTGCAGAAAGAAAAGCCATTGAGCCAATAGGAAGCTGTGACCCAGATAGATCTCTACACTGCAAGCTGCCGACCACTTTAGATGACAGTTCTCAGCCGCTGCAAGTTAATCGCTTCCGCCAGCCTAAGCAGCAATTCTGATCACAAGCCGGCAGGTGGGGATGAGGACTCCTATAGTCAAGAAAGCTAACACTTCGGCAGAAAAAACTCCCTTAAAGGAGACCAGTTTCTTGACACAGAGTTAGAAGGGATCCTAGAGGTCACCTACTCCAACCCCCTTGCTCCCGGCGGGAGTCAGTCAACCGCAGCACCCCACTCTGCTTCGAGGAGTGCACACCTTTAAGAAAATGTTTTGAAATGATTGAAAAGAAGCATTTCCAGGAGAAATCCTTGGAGGGCTGTGCCTTTAAGAAAGGGGATGGAGCCCCCCCAAGCCCCACCATAGCTACGAGCCTGATGGTAAACCACCTCCAAATGTCTCTTGCCTCGAAAACCAGATGAGGTCGCCACAAGTCACTCTGCGGCACTTCCCACGGGCAGATAATTTCCCTTCCCTTCAAAAAACAGCAGTGGTCCCAAAATTTACGTTGGTAGCCGTGCCGGTCTGAAGCTCCAGGTGGGACCTGGAGATCTGCCAAAAATTACCACTGATCTCCAGACAACATAGACAAGGGCCCTACTGCGGGCCCTCCCCTCCCCAGGCTCCACCCCCAAATCTCCAGAACAGGCTTGTCAAACATGCGGCCCAGGGGCCAAATCAGGCCCCCGGAGGGCTTCTATCAGGCCCGCAGTGGAACTGGCTGTCTTCTGATGCTTCTTCCAGTTCTGCTGCTGCTGCGTCATCGTAGGTTTGCAGCTTACAGATGCACACACCTGAACAGCATACTCAGGATTGCAACAGCACAGACATTTTGATGCAATGATGCAGAGCAAGAGGTGTCAGTTATCAGACACTGCTAAATAAACAAAATATTGCAAGTGCTCATGTTTTAAGCATGTTTTTAAGTAAAAAAAACCCCTTTGTGTTTGTGTCCTTTATAAAGTTTACCTCTCCGCTACCCGGCATTACCTTTAACGACACACGTGGCCGCACTGACAAGGTCTCGTTTATGTCAGATCCGGCCCTCATGACAAATGAGTTCGACACCCCTGCTCCAGAAATTTCTCAATCTGGAGCTTGCAACCCTTAATGTCCCAAAACAGATTAATTTTCCCGGACAGGCAACACAAAAACAAAGCCTCCCTGCCCCGATGGTCTCCGAGACCTTGAAACCAGAAACCCTGACCTGACCGTGATCCGTTGAGCATCTGCTAAACAATGAGGTCATGTGTTATGAGAACAGTCGCCTCCTTAGTCACTTTGGAGAGGTTCTTCCTTCACAGTATCTTTCCCACATTTTTTGGGGTGGTGGTGCTTCCCTGCAGCTCCCCAAGTGATGGATCCACACGTGGCTCGAGCCTCCGAAACAACCGTCCCACATTCTCCCCGAACCCCCCCATTGGTTCGCCCCGCCGCTGCCCCTCCTTTGCACCCAGAGCACCTTGGGGAAAGCATGCCTGAGCATCATGCGCGTGCCAGGAGTGGGGTGTGTAGGCCGACCCTTCGGCTGCAATCATTTTATTTTTGGAATCCGTTCCAGGCCCCGGAGAGGGAGATTGCGTAATGCGGCCATGATGTGATGCTCCCCGATGGGCTAGACCAGGGATGTCGAACTTATTTGTTATGAGGGCCAGATCTGGCATAAAGGAGAGATTGTTGGGCCGGGCCATGCGTGTCAAACTTTAATGCCAGGTAGCGGAGATATAAACTTTATGAAGGACACAGACACAAAGGGTCTTTTTAAAAAAACTTAAAATCAAAACATTAGCTCTGTAAGCTGCAAAACTACTTTTGATTTATCGACATTCACCACAGAGATCTCATGCTCAGTTTGGTGTGGTGGTTAAGTGCGCGGACTCTAATCTGGGAGAACCGGGTTGGATTCCCCACTCCTCCACTTGCACCTGGCTGGATGACCTTGGGCAAGCCGTAGTTCTGATAAGAGCTGTCCTTGAAAAAGAACAGTTTCTGTCAGAGCTCTCTCAGCCCCACCTACCTCACAGGGTGCCTGTTGTGGGGAGGGGAAGGGAAAGGAGTTTGCAAGCTGCTCTGAGACACCTTTGGGTAGTGATGAGTGGGGTATAAATCCAATCTCTTCTTCTCTTCTTCTCTCAGAGTTCTGAGTCTAGGACCCAGGTTAGAACATGAAATGGCTGAGTGATTAAGAGAGTCTGGCGAAGCAAGCGATGATGCAGCAGCAGCAGCAGAACTGGAAGCAGGAGATGGCCAGTTCCACTGCGGGCCTGATGGAAGCCCTCCGGGGGCCTAATCTGGCCCCCGGGCCGTTCGTTTGACACCCCTAGGCTAGACTATCATGCGCCTCCAGCTCAGTTTCGCAGACCTTTGTTCTTCAGCTTGTGACCCAGGCGCAGTGGGGTTCCCGATGCCCAAAGGAAGCCTGCCCCCTCCAGTTGGCCTAGAGATCAATATATTCCCCACTCTTTGCAGCAGGCCATTTCATAAAACTGTAAGCTGCGGGCTGGTGCAGCTTCAATTTGCCTTGGGGTCATGCAGGGAAAGGAGAAGTTGCGTAACTCTTCAAGCTCCACTTGTTCTCGGGATTCAAAACCGAGCTCCTGCTCGGCTGTTAGCATTTTAACAGGTAAGTGCTTGATTCTGAAGGGCAACATTGGAAATGAACAAGACCGATAAAGTTTTATCCAAGGTATCGGCTTCCGTGTGCAGGCACACTTCTTGAGATACAATGAAATGGAAATTACCAGTCCATACATATACGCAGTTCGTGAGCAGTAAATTAGCATACAGCATAGTGAAGATGTTTCACAGATTCAAGGACCAAACAGGAATAACAAGCTTAGTTTATATGGTTACCATTTGTCTGGATTTAATTCCAGGGGGAAATGTAGTGAAGGAAATAAATATGTCAAAATTTAGAGATTTTCACTATGTTTACCCCCAGAATTAGACCCAAATGAATGGTAACCAGTGTTCCCTCTAAGCTGAGTTAGTGGGAGCTAGCTCACAGTGTTAGCCTCCGGCTCACACATTTTTGTCTTCACTCAGGAAGGATGGCTCCAGAGCAAACTAATTTATGCAGTAGCTCACTCTCACTCACAGCTTTAATGCCAGTAGCTCACAAAGTAGAATTTTTGCTCACAAGACTCCATAGCTTAGAGGGAACATTGATGGTAACCATATCAACTAAGCTTGTCATTCCTGTTCGGTCCTTGCATCTGTTAAGCATCTTCATTATGCTGTATGCTAACTCACCCTCTACCTCAGGGGTGTCAAACATGCGGCCCGGGGGCCGGATGAGCCCCCCCAGAGGGCTTCTATCAGGCCCGCAGTGGAACTGGCCATCTCCCGCTTCCAGTGCTGCTGCTGCATCATAGCTTGCTTCGCCAGACTCTCTTAATCACTCAGCCATTTCATGTTCTAACCTGGGTCCTAGACTCAGAACTCTGAGAGAAGAAGAGAAGATCAATTGTAATTCTGACAGATCTCCAGGAGCCACCTGGAGGTTGGTAACCACAGGCCTAGCAACTAGGAACTATTCACTTTAAGAATCGGTGAGAAAGCTGAAGGGAGGGGCGGTATGGGGGTATAGATAGAAGCCCACACACCACCTGGGCCCCAAAGCAAAGATGTTTCTCAGCCATTACATAAGGATGCTTTGGAAACAAAAATCTTCCCGTTGAGGCAATGCCATGGAGCGATGCTGCCCTCATGTGGCCAAAGGGTGGCATTGCAAGGCAACAGAATACCTCACTTTTTGCAGCTGTTACTCCGAAATGTGATGCACAAGGGAGGCCAGTTTTGCCGATTCGTGTCCTTGGGAAGCCAGAAAAATCTGGCCTGCGTTTTTATATCGCGGTGTGTGTGTGTTAAGTCGCTGCCAACGTACGGCGGCTCTACGAATTCGTGTCCTCCAAAACGTCGTACCATTGATTTAATTTATATCGATCGATTGGTTGTATTTATACCCCACCCTATCCCACAATGGGCTCAGGCCGGCTAACAATAAAAACAATAAATAAAAACAATAAATATATGATCGAAAACCAGTTAAATAAAACAAGACGGCAGCAAAGAAACATGACATCAGACCAGACCAGCCCAAGACGCTTCCCATGAAATGTTCAAATCATAGAATTGTAGAGTTGGAAGGGACCTCCGGGGTCATCTAGTCCAACCCCCGGCTCAGTGCAGGAAATTCACAATGCAGGAAATCTTAGCAGGATAGTAGGCATCTGTAGGCCTACTATGGGCAAGGGAGGCTGAGATGGTAAAAAAAATCCGTTTCCTCGACCAAAGGCCTGGTGGAACAGCTCCGCTTTGCAGGCCCTGTGGAATTGTAGCACGTCCCGCAGGGGCCTGATCTCAACTGGGAGCGGATTCCACCAGGCGGGGGCCAGGACAGAGAAGGCCGTGGCCCTGGCTGAGGTTAACCAGACATCCTCTGGGCCAGCCAGGGACTACCAGTAAGTGTTAATGGCCTGCCTTGCTCACGGTTTTGCAAACTGAGGGCCGTGGCTCCCTCGAAAGCAAATGCTCAAAAGCCACTGGGGAGGACCCTGACCTGGATAGCCCAGGCGAGCCCGATCTTGTCAGATCTCAGAAGCTAAGCGGGGCCGACTCTGGCGAGTACTTGGAAGAGTGACCTCCAAGGAATACCAGGGCTGGGGTGCAGAGGCAGGCAATGGCAAGCCACCTCTCTGAAAGCGTTCAAGCCCCAGTTGGGGTTGCCAGAAGTCGCCATGACGTCCAGGCACGCAAAGACACACACTTCCAAGCCGAAGAGCCGGCGCTGTCCGAAGACCATTCCGTGGCCATGTGGCCGGTATGACTAGACGCCGAGGTGCACGGAACGCTGTTCCCTTCCCACCGAAGCGGTACCTATTTGTCTACTTGCAGTTTCTTGCTTTCAAACTGCTAGGTTGGCAGGAGCTGGGGCCAGAGACGGGAGCTCACTCCATCATGCAGCACTCGAGTCTCAAACTGCTGCAACTGCTTGAGCCATTCTTCAGCATGCTCCTAACCCTATCCCTCCCCACACCCCAAAGAGATACCTGGAGTTCTCCGTTGACCAACACCACCGGCGCCTCGTCGTTGCTTGGGATCACCTCGATGGAGACCCTCCTCGGTTGGCTCTGCTGGTTGACCTCGGAGACGTTGGCCACCACCGTGAAGCCGTCCGTGAAGGATTCACTGCCGTCGTGCACGTACTGAATGAGCTGCTGCTCTACCTGGGTGCAAAGAAGACAGAGGCTGGAGGGCTTTGTGTCTGCTTCTCTGTCAGTGGAATTGGGGGGCTGGGGGGACGGTTCGTCACCGTTTCAGGGATTCCTACCCTGACTTTGCGTTGAGGTCTTGCTCAGGACAGAAACCACGAGTCCAGCATCCCGTTTCCCACAGCGCTCGCCGAAATGTTTTATAGAATCATAGAGTTGGAAGGGGTCCCAAAGAGGGCATCTAGTCCAGCCCCCTACTCAGTGCGGGATCGGCCCAGAGCATCCCTGAGAAGTCTTTGTCCGGCCGCTGCTTCAAGACTGCCAGGGAGGGGGAGCTCACCAATGCTCCCTCTAAGCTGTGGAGTCTTCTGAGCAAAAATTCTACTTTGTGAGCTCCTGGCATTAAAGTTGTGAGCAAACCATTTGGCTGCTGCATAAATTAGTTTGCTCTGGAGCCATCCTTCCTGAGCTAAGACCAAAATGTGTGAGCTGGAGGCTAAAGAACCGTGAGCTAGCTCACACTAACTCAGAGGGAACACTGGAGCTCACCACCACCTGAGGCCGCCGATTCCACTGCTGCACAACTCTGACTTTAAAAGAAGTTTCCCCTAAGATCCAGCTGGTACCTCCCTGCCCTTAATTTAAAGCCATGGTGGCGCGTCCTGTCCTCTGCTGCCCACAGGAACTGCTCCCTGCCCTCCTCCGAGTGACAGCCCTTAAAAAGAGCTCTCTCAGCCCCACCTACCTCACAGACAATGCCCCCTCTGAGCTGTGGAGTCCGGCGAGCAAAAATTCTACTTTGTGAGCTGCCGGCATTCAAGTTGTGAGCGGGCGATTTGACTACTGCATCAATTAGTTTGCTCCGGAGCCCTCCTTCCTGAGCTGAGACAAAAACGTGTGAGCCAGAGGCAAAAAAACCGTGGGCTGGCTCACACTAACTCAGCTTAGAGGGAACACTGGTGGACTCCCGTCCTGGCTGCATCTGGCTGCAGTCACACGGCAAGCTTATAGCGACTTGTTCCCACTCTAGATTTGATTGGGAATTTTTTTTTTCTGGGTTGGGACGACCACACATCCCTCCCCAAACTGCAGGCATTGCCCGACAAGGCTCTGGGCACCGTCTAGATAGCTGCGCTGCCACTTGAGCGGCGCTGCCACTGGGGCGACACGGCACAAGTTTTTTTTTTAAATTGCTTTGCGCAGGCGCATATGCACATGGCCAAATCAATGCCCCCACTTGGACTCACTGTACTCCCTTTTTTTACAGTCCCCCCCCCAGCGAAAAAAATGACCTAGCAACATCCTACCAACA